TTGTTGCCACCTCAGTGTCAGTTCATCTCGTTCCTCTTTTTCACTGACTCTTCACTTTACCAGGCATGATATCCATCTCCAGGGACTGACTGGTCCCTCCTGATAGCATGCCCAAAGTACATAAGACAATGTCTCTCCATCCTCATGTCTTTAAGGAGCATTCCATTTGTACCTTTTCCAAGGAAGGTTTGTTCCATCTTCTGGAAATCCATGGTATATTCAGTATTCTTTACCAGCAACATAATTCAAATCCATCAATTTTTCTTTTGTCTTCCTTATTCACTTTCCACCTTTCACATCAGAGGTGATTGAAAATACCGTTTCTTGGGTCAGGCACACCTTAGTCCTGAAAGAGACATCTTTGCTCTTTAATACTTTCAAGAGGTCTTTTACTGCACACTTGCTCAGTTTAATTGTTTGATTTCTTGATTGCTGCTTCTGTAGGTGTTGACTGTAGATCTGAGTAAAAATTAAATCCTTGGTAACTTCAGTCTGTTTTCCATTTATCATGATGTTGCTTATTGCCCCAGTTCTGAGAATTTTTGTTTTATTTATGTTGAGGTGTTATCCATACTGAAGGCTATAGTTTTTAAATCTTCTTCAGTAAGTGCTTCAAGCCCTCTTTACTGTCAGCAAACAAGGTTATGTCTTTCGTATAGTATAGGTTGTTAATGAGTCTTCCTCAAAACCACACTGTTAATGTCACATTCTTCTCTGTACAGTCCCATTTTTTCATATTATTTGTTGAGCATACTGAGTGAATAAGTATGTTGAAAGGATACATCCGTAACAAACACCTTTCCTGATTTTAAACTATTCAGTATCCCCTGTACTATTGGAATGAGTGCTTTCTGATTTCTTCTATCTTCTGCAATTTGAAATTGATCAAACATGCAATTAAGAAGCGTTAATTACTGGTGATTGGAATGTGAAGTTGTAAACAAAGAGAAAAAATTGGTAATTGGAAAGTAATGCCTTGGTGATAGAATTTTGCGAGATCAACAACTTACTCATTTTTTCAGCAATATAAATAGCGACTAAATACATGTTGTTAAGTGCCATTGAGTCGGTACCCTCTCATAGTGATCTTATATACAACAGAATGAAACAATACCCAGTCCTGTGCCAACATTATAGTCATTGCTACACTTGAGCCCACTGTTGCTGCTGCTGTACCAGTCCATCTCATTGGGGATCTTCTTCTTTTTTGCTGACCTTCTACTCTACCAAACATGATTACATTTTCCAGGGACTGGTCCCTCATGATAGTATGTATGAAGCATATGAAAGATGAAGTCTGGCCATCCTGACTTCTAAGGAGCATTCTGGCTGTACTTTTTGCAACACAAATTTGTTCTTTTAGCAGTCTGTAGTACTTTTATCTGTCAATGTATGCTTGAGTCATTTTTGTATTAGTAAAACTTTACTTGCATGGGATATCAAAGAGATTGTCCAATGATTTCCGCATTCCATTGGGTCACCTCTCTTTGGAATGGACACTAATACGGATCTCTTCCAGTCAGTTGGCCAGATGGTTGTCTTCCAAATTTCTTGGCAGAGATGGGTGAGTGCCTCCTGTGCAGCCTCACTTTCTAGAAAGATTTCAATTTTTATTCCATCAATTTGTGGTGCCTTGTTCTTTGCCAGTCCCTTCAATACACCTTGGACTTCTTCCTTCAGTATCATTGGCTCTTGATCATATGCTACCTCTTGAAATGGTTGAACAGCAACCGTTTCCTTTTGGCATATTGACTCTGTATTCCTTCCATCTTCTTTTGATGCTTTCTTCATCATTCAATAATTTTCCCAAAGAATCCTTCAGTAACAAAAGTCGAGGCTTAAATTTTTTCTTCATTTCCCCCAGCTTGAGAAATGCTGAGTGTGTTCTTCCTTTTTGGTTTTCTGACTCTAGATCTTTGCACATTTTGTTGTAATATTTGCTTTATCTTCTCAAGTTGATCATTGCATCTCAATGTAAATAAAATAAAAATCCTCACCACTGGACCAATAAACAACATTCTTAACAATGGCGAAAAGATTGAACTTGTCAAGGACTTCATTCTTCTTGGATCAACTATCAACACTCATGGAAGCAGCAGTCAGGAAATCAAATGACATATTCCATTAGGTAAATCTGCTGCACAAGACCTTTTTAAAGTAAGTGTTAAAGAGCAAAGATATCAGCTTGAAGACTAAGGTGCCCCTGACCCAAGCCATGGTATTTTCAGTAACCTCATATGCATGCAAAAGCTGGACAGTGAATAAGGAAGACCATAGAAGAATTGATGCTTTCGAGTTATGGTGTTGGAGGAGAATATTGAAAGTGCCATGGGCTGCCTAAAGAACCATCAGATCTGTATTAGAAGAAGTGTAGCCAGAGCGCTCCTTAGAGGCCAGGATGGCCAAAAGTTGTCTCTCATACTTCAGACATATTGTCAGGATGGACCAGTCACTGGAGAAGGATATCATGTTTGGTAAGGTTGTTGTTGTTGTTGTTACGTGCCATCGAGTCGGTTCTGACCCATAGCGACCCTGTACAGGGTTTCCGAGGGTCAGAAAAAAAAGAGGAAGACCCCCAACAAGATGGATTGGCAAAACGGCAGCATCAGTGGACTCAAGCATGGCAACAATAGTGAGGTTGGCTCAGGATTGGGCACTGTTTCATTCTGCTGTGCATAATAAGGTCACTATGAGTTGGTACCAACTCGAAGGCACCTAACAACAAGTACTTTCAATCTTCTCCTCCAATACCTTAACTCAAATGCATCAGTTTGTCTATAGCCCTCTTTACTCATTGTCCAACTTTCACATGCATACGAGGTTATTGAAAATACCATGAGTTGTATTAGGAGCTCCTTAGTCCTCAAATTACCATCTTTGCTCTTGAACACTTTAAAAAGGTCTACACAGCATATTTGCTTAATACAAAATATAATTTGATTTTTTTGACTGCTGCTTCAATGAGTGTTGATGGTGGAGCTGAGCAAAATGAAGTTTTTGACAGCGTTAATCTTTTCTCCATTTATCTTGATGTTATTTATTGGTCCGGTGGTGACGATTTTTCCTTTCTTTAAATTGAGGTGCAAGCCATAGTGAAAGCTGTAGCCTTTGATCTTCATCAGTAAGTATTTTAAATCCTCTTTGCTTTCAGCAAGCAAGATTATATCATCTGCATATCACAGGTTGTTAATGAGTCTTACTCCATTGTTCTTCTTCATATAATTCAGCTGCTCAATTATACAGCTTGAATAAGTATGATGAAAGAATACTTACTGACTCACATGCTTCCTAATTTTAAATTATTCACTGTTCCCTTGTTCTATTGAGACAACTGCCTCTTGGTATATGTGCAGGTTCTGCATAAGCACAATTAAGTGTTCTGGAATACTTATTCTCCACAATGCTGTCCATAGCTTCTCATGATCCACACAATTGAAACCCTTTGCATAGTAAATAAAGCACAGGTAAACATCTTTCTGTTGTTTGCTTTCAGACAAGATCCATCTGATGTGAGCAATGATAGTACCTCATTCCATATCCTATTCTGAATCCGGCTTGAACCTCTTTAAGTCTTCTGTCAGTGCATGGTTGCAACCATTTTTTAATTATCTTGAGCAGAATTTTGCTTGCATGGAATATTAATGATATTGTCCGATATTTCTGTATTCCGCGGGGTCCCTTTCTTTGGAATGGGTACAAATCTGGATCTATTCCAATCAGTTGGCAAGGTTGCTGTCTTCGAAGTTTCATGGCATAGATAGGTGAGCGCCTCTAAGTGCTTCATCAGTTTGTTGAAAGATTTCAGTTTGTATTCCATCCGTTCTCAGAGCCTTCTTCTTTATCAATGCCTACAGTGTATCATGTACTTTTTCCTTCGGTATTGGTTCTTGATCATACGGTTCTTTGAAACGGTTGAACATCAACCATTGATTTTTGGTACAGTGACTCTGTGTATTTCTTCAATCTTCTTTTGTTGCTTTCTGCATTATTCATATTTTGCCCATAGAAACCTTCAGTATTGCAAATCAAGGCTTGAATTTTTTCTTCAGTACTCTCAGCTTGAGAAATGTTGGGTGTGTTCTTCCTTTTTGTTTTTCTAGTACCAGATCTTTGCTTATCTCATTACAATATTTGACTTTGTCTCTCTGAGATGCCCTTTGAAATTTTCTATTCATCTCATTTATCTCCTCATTTCTTCCATTTGCTTTAGCATTTCTACACTGGAGACTAAGTGTCCGTCTCCTCTGACATCCATTTTGATCTTTTTCTTCTTTGTTGTCTTCTTAATGACCCTTTCCTTTCTTGCTATATGATGTTCTTGATGTCATCCCACAACTCATCTGTTCTTTAGTTATTAGTGTCTAATTCATCCAAGTGTGTTCTTGAGATGATCTCTAAATTCAGGTGGGATATGTTCAAAGTCATATTTTTGGATTTGTTTTAATTTTCTTCAGCTTCAATGTGAACTTGCATATGAGCAGTTGATAGTCTGTTCCACAGTCTTCCCCTGGCCTTGTTTTGACTGATGATATAGAGTGTGTTCAAGATTTCTTCTCTATCAATCACTGAGTACAGAAAATACAACTCTCACTAATGGCAGAAACAGATATTTAAAAATAATCATTGATTATATTTTTTAATTTACCTATAAAAAATTTTAGTTTTTGAACTTTAAAGTTCACTAAGATGCTTGAGTAATAACATGGTTGATCTTTTCTGTATTTAGGCTTATATCCAAGAATGCTGGTATGGTGCTGCAGGATAAAGCTCTGAAGTGCAAGGTCGATTTGAACCACAAGGTCAGTGGTTCAAACCCACCAGCCACTCCTCGGACATCCTAGACAGAGTTTCTATGAGTCGGAACCAACTCAAAGGCAGTTAACAACAACTGAGAGTATTAGGCTTAAATACTACACTTGAAATTCTTTCATAAGATTGAAATATTACTTTACCAAAATAGAAAGCTATGGTCATACTAATATATGATTATTTTCCTGCAGTTTCCTGAGTGTGGATTTTTTGGCATGTATGATAAAATTCTTCTCTTTCGCCATGACATGAACTCAGAAAATATTTTGCAGTTGATTACCTCAGCAGAGGAAATACATGAAGGAGACCTAGTAGAAGTTGTTCTTTCAGGTAAGTTAGTAGGTTCGTGTATTTTGTTACCTTTTTGCTAAATGTTCTCTGTTCAATTATGTTGGGTTTTTATACTATTTCTAATTACTTCTTTTCATGTATAAGAATAGTTACCCTTTCAGGATAGTTACCACAAATGAAGAAGTACAACAATAGTACTGAATTATTTATTTGAATGTCATTAATCTAAAGGAATTATCGCTTGAACTGAAAAAGGAATGTACTCCCCTTTTCTGAGTCAAACAAAATAATTATACTGAAATTGTATTCCCTTTTCTCCACTTCTGTTAAAAGCATATAAGAAGGGGTGAAAAAAGCATATAAGAAGAGAACTGGGGTTCAGAACAGAGAGTCAGAAAGAATTAATGAAAGTTGTTGTTGTTAAGTGCTGTCCAGTCAGTTCAGACCTTTAGCGACCCTGTATAGAGTTTCTAAGGAACAGCTGGTGAGCTTGAACCAAGAGGAAATTGTGATAATGGTTGTTTCCTTAACATAGTTAATCATCTTTTCCTTTTTGTTGTCATTCATTTTCCTACCTCTCTCTCCTTTTTACTCTCATCCGTTCTTGCCATTCCTTATCCCATGAGTCCCCACTATTTCTAATCTCCTTCAATGGTAAGGAGAGGATTGTTAGTAAGGAGATGTAAAAACGGAATGGGGGTGATGTCTAACCTCCTCTGGTTTCACAAAATGGGAGGCGAATCAAACTCCACATCAGTCCAGTGCTAGTTCCTGTGAGTTCAAGGTTAGACATCCCTCTACCCTTCAACCTTCTTTACCAATTCTGACACCAACCAACCCTTCCATGGCATTCTCTGTGTTTCTGCTGGTTCAATAATTCATTGCACTGGCCATGAACAGCTCAGAGACATTGGGGTTTATTAGAAAAATAACTGGTTACAATTCAGGAACAGGAATGCTCAGGATATAGCATTTGAGTACACTGCTGCCTCTCAGCTGTACTCACAAGCACATCTAGGCCGTCAACCTCATGCCTACTTGGGCAAGTACTACAAAGCTCTTCTAGTTCCTCTTTACCCAGTGGCTCCTTAACCTCTGTCTTACTTGGGCAAGGGTAACTCTGCCAATAAACCTTGGCATGAAGGTGCTCAGCTCTAGCTGTGAGTCAGCGAACTTGTTATTTAGGTTCCATTGAGTTGTTGCAACTCACAGCTACCCTGTACACAACAGAACGAAACAATGCACAGTCCTATGTTAGCCTCACAGTTGTTGTTACACTTGAGCCTGTTGCTACTGCCATAATGCTAATCCATTTCACTGGGGACCTTCCTCTTTTTTTCTAACCTTCCACTTTGCCAAGCATATTATACTTCTCCAGGGACCGATCCCTCCCAATAACATGTCTGAAGTAATCTCCCCATCCTGGCTTCTAACAAGCATTCTGGCTGTACTTCTTCCAACACTGATTTATTTGGTCTTCTGGAAGTCCATGGCACTTTAGTTATTGTTCTCCAGCACTACAGCGCAAATGCATCAATTCTTCTGTGGTCTTCCTTATTCACTGTCCCACTTTCACATGTATATGGGGCAACTGAAAATACCATAGTTACTCCATCCAGAACCTTCTAAGGTGGGACATTCCCACTAGAAAAGACAATCAGACCAGCTTAGAACAGCTAGAGCAGCAGGAAGAACCCAAAACAAAAAAGGCAGTATGATTGGCTACTATAAGAACAAGCAAGTTGTTCACTGGGAACCCATCAAGACAAGCAATCCAGTCCCTTCAGGACAACCCTCCTCCAAGACAAACTCAAAGGGAACACATGAGCAGGCACATAAGCTTGCTGTTGACCACGTTGGTCTACTGGTGAGTGGAAGAGGGAAAGGCAGCAATGAAGAAATGGGCTGAGTTCAACCACGTTCCCTAGACTCCTGTTGACCTGGAGATGAGAGAGAGAAGAGGAAGGGATAGTTGGTCCGAAGTGTGGTGAGACCTGGGGACACCTGAGCCTGGGGACAAGGACATAACTACAGAAGGCTAGAGTTGAGAATGAAGCATCCTGCTGATATGAAGTGAGGGGAGATGCACAAGAACACCCAAACTTGCAGATTATACCCATTTGACCTAGCCTCTATGGCTTGATAATCAGAACTCTACTAGTAGAAGAAGATACCATAGTTTGTGTCAGGCAAACTTGTTGTTGCTAAGTGCTATTGAGCCAGTTCCAACTCAGCTACCCTGTATAGGGTTTCTGAGGAATAGCTGGTGCGTTTGAACCACTGACCTGTTGTCCAAACCCACCCTTCCCCCAACTAAGTGCCTGGAGGCACCCTTCTTCCCGTTCAAGCCTTTTGCCTGAAAGCACTCAGCTTTCGTGCGCCAGGGAATCCCACTTCTCTGCCTCATGCCCTCGGTCTTGCTGCCTCTGCTGCCAGTACTTGTTAGCCATCTCTTGCCAACTCTGGTATCACATCTTAGGGGTGCAGAGGAAATGCTCTTCTCCTGGCTCTTCTCTCCTTATGGTAGTGAGATACCCTCTTCTGTTTCTGTTGTTGTTGTTGTTAAGTGCCGTTGAGTCGGCCGTCGAGTTGGTTTAGCGACCCTGTATAGGGTTTCCGAGGAGCAGCTGATGAGCTTGAACCACCAACCTTGCTGTGCAAATGACTTTGCAGTCTGTGGCATTGAGATGACTTATTTTAAATCCAGTAAGATGGCAAAAGTGACCACTTCCCATGTTAGGGATCCACATACCTTATTTTCATGGTCCCACCCCACATGGGTGCCATATACTCCTATTTACATTGCTCTTGTTAAATGCTGTCAAGTCTATTTTTACACATAGCTACCCTGTATAGAATTTCCAAGGCTGCAGATCTTTGCAGGAACAGAAAGCCTCATCTTTCTACCTCAGAGCGGCTGGTGAGCTCAAACCACCAATTTTGTGGTTCACAGTCTAGTGCTTATCCTACAGCGCCACCTCACTCTGTTTATTTACATTACTAGCAAATTATCCAATCCCCTTGGTGGCCACAAACACCGCACATTTGCATAGCCCCAACCAATAATGTGGTAGGAATTACAAAGACTTTGGCTAGTCTTTGCCATATCAAGTGATTCACTGCACTGCAGGAATATAAAGGGAAAAAGAACACCAGGCAAATACCACAGTAGGCCTGCAGTACCTGGTAGACCTGTATACTTTTTGTTTGGCAGGAGAGGAGAGAGGAAGAATGGACAGAAGGAGACAATCCATTAACCAAGGGTGCAGATTTTACCACCACTTTTGCTTCCTAAACTCTTCTTTGCAGTCTGTTCTTGAAACCCCCACTGTGGCACCTTCCTTATTAACCACCACAGCTCTCATATTTCTGATCCTTCCCATTCATCTATCCGATCATTCATCATTCATCTTCTACACCACCAGCCCAAACATCTGTTCTCTTCCCAATCCTGGCTTTCCTCTTCACTGCTAAGGGACTTCACTCTCTGTGTTTCCTGGAGATCGTGCTGATGTTTGTTCCTTCTTGGCTATGGACCCTGCATCAAACTGCTGGGGCATCCACTGAATGACTTAAAGGTGGACATGAGAGAAAGGCTCTGTGTCTATTTTTATATTCTTAATGAAGGGAGAAGTATCTTTTTCTCTTAACCACTAGGACTATGGAGGACAGACAGAGACCTTACCTTGGGACCCAGAAGCATTGCTATAAATTGAGGTTAAATTCCACAGTATTTTTTTTGTTTTAACTTTAGTGTTCTCCTTCCCAATAAACTGTTTTAATGGGCTTTTAAGTACACCTAACAGTTATTTGTAATCCTGTCACTATAAGAAAGTTCTTTTGAAGACCCAAGTACCTAACCTACAGTCCTAATTTTATAGCTAAAATGATTTACAGCTAATGAACCTTTTTGTCTAGAATTTAAAAATGCACAATATTAAGTGCTGAAAATCATTAATTTTCTGTGGTTAGAGGAAACTTTCAGAAATTTTGTGTATTTAGTGTATTTCCTTTCCCATAAATGAACACTCATAATCTCACTACACTACACATACAAGGTTTGTTTTATTTAATTTCTTTTTTCAAAAGCTTTAGCTACAGTAGAAGACTTCCAGATTCGTCCACATACACTCTATGTACATTCTTACAAAGCTCCTACGTTCTGTGATTATTGTGGTGAGATGCTTTGGGGATTGGTACGTCAGGGACTGAAATGTGAAGGTAAGTAATTAAGAATTTGTGTAATCCTTTGAAATAGGATTTCACGTTTTTCTATTTTTCTTTTATGAAATTAATGTATTCTCTAGTCATCAATATGACAAAATCATTGATCGTGACTTGGTAGTACTTCTACATCAGATCCTGGAGATATGCTGTCAGAAAGATTACAGACTTGGAAACCCTTGTAGCAGTTCTACTTTGTCTTATAGGGTCACCTTGCGTTGGAATCGATTTGATGACACACAACTGCAACAACATGAGTGAAACACTTGGCACAAAGTAAAGTAGTTGTTCAATAAATATTAGCTTACTTAACCATTTTGTAATCTTCAAAAGAAAGTCTGTCTTTCACATATAACTAAATCAGTTATGATTCTTGAGATCCATAAGATCACCATGTTTCTATCTTAAAATTTGAGTTTTATTAGAAAAATATATTTTTAATGAACATTTTCATTATGATTTTGCTATATAGGCATTGGAAGACAAGTTGTAGTACAAATTAACAATATAAAGTTAATTTGTACTAATCTCAAAGTGATTTGTTCTAATCTGAAAACTTTGAACACTTTATATGTCTTGTTGAGCTTGTTCTTTGAACAAGCCACTGTTCAAACGACTGGAACAGAGACAGTTCTTTTACTAGTGTTGGGTTTGATGATCGATCTTTCAGATTTTTGACCTAAGTTTAGAAGCTGGGGAGATATTGGAGACTGGGTGGCATTAAAAATATTTATGAAACAAAGGACTCTGGAAATAGAGTTGATAAAATAAGAATAGTTATCATTTGGGAGGCACATAATATGTTTCAGGTACTGCTAAACCTCTTATTAATCACTATTTCAAACCTGGAAGAAAGGCATTTTACCATTGACGAAACTGGAACTCTGCAAAGGCGATGAGTTATATAATGTGACGTAACTAGTTAAGAGGCAAAGAGTGTTGATCTAGTTTATCATCATCATTGTCATATTGTTGTTATGTGTTGTCGAGTCAGTTGCAACTCATAGTAACCCCATGTAGGGTTTCCAAGGAACGGCTGGTGAGTTTGAACCGCCAACCTTATGGTTCAAACTGACCTTGACTTCCAGTGCTTTATCCCACAGCGTCTTACTATCATCATTGTTGTTGTTGTTAAGTTCCATCGAGTCATAGCGACCCTGAACAGGGTTTCCGAGGCTGTAAATACTATCATCATTGTTAATGTTTATTAAGTATTTACTATATGTCAAATATTATGCTAAGAACTTTATATGAATTAGTCACTTAATTCTTAGAAAAAGCACTGAGATCGTTCTTATCATTCTTGTTTTATTAATTAAGAAATTGGAGAAAAGGAGAGGTTAAAGACTTGTCCCAAGTCACTTAGCTACTAAGTTGTAGAGCCAGGCAGTCTGAGTCCAGGGCCTGTACTATTTCAAGTCACTAAAGAATGCGCTAGGCACTCCACCAGATGGAAAACATACTTTCTTCAAGTCTCACAACAGTGCAATAGGTATTGCTAGCTCTAACGTACACAAAAGAATATGCTTATCTTTTAGTTTATAAATGTTATTGTTAAGTGCCATCAAGTCGGTTCTGAACTTTTCATGAGCAGAAAGCCTCATCTTTCTCCACAGGGCTGCTGGTGGGCTCGAACTACAGACCTTGTGGTTCATAGTCCAGTGCGTATCATATGGAGCCACCACACTCCTAAATATGTTATTAAGTGATGAATTATAAAATGTTAGTTGCTTTTTTCAAAAGCCTCTTCTTGCAGCTAAGTACATTGAAAGTTATCTGGTAGAGGTACTATAATTTACAAGAAGCTGCAGGTTGATGCCTTGGATTAAGAAATTGTTTAATATAGTGCCACAATTAGAATCTGTCATAGTTTCTCTCCAATTACAGAAATAACTAGGCTGTTCACCTGAATTACTTGGGCAATTTTAAAGAATACATGTAAGGGCCCCACCTTAGAATATTGAATTAGAATCTCTGGAGGTAGGACCTAGATACACATCTCTGATTAAAAACAGTTTTTGAAGGTGGGCATATGTAAGCTTTTTTTTAGGGAAAAAAAAAAGAGAGAGAGTATTTTAGGCTTTGGGAGTTATGTGGTCTTTATTGTAGTTACTTTACTCTGCTCTTGTTGCATGAAAGCAGCCCTAAATAATTATAATCAAAGGATCTTGGGTGTGTTCCAATAAAACTTTATGAACACTGAAATTTGTGTTTTATATAATTTTCACATGTCACAGGAGGAATTTGGTTTGTAAGCTTCAGTTTGCTGACCAACACTTTAAACTAATGGTTCTCAAACTTTACTATGTATCATAATCACCTGACAGATTTTTCAAAACATAGATGGCTGGGCCCCATCCTCAGGATTTCTGATGTAGTGGCTCGAGGGTGGAGGCCAGTGATACACTTTTTGAATGAGTTATCAGCTGATGTCTTAGAGGCCACATTACAAGACCCACTGTTGTAAGCTTTCTAAATAAACCTTTGTACACAGTTGCCTATAATTTTTAAATTGGTTAACTTCTACTTAGCCTGTGATCTGAGTTATTCATTGAGGTATTAATGCCAAAGAAAAGAAATTTAATTTAAAAAGCACCTTTTTTTTATGTATCACACTTACATGGTAAACTTGAAAATGTTTACTTTTTGAAATATGTTTAGGCTGTGGATTAAATTATCATAAACGATGTGCCTTCAAGATTCCAAATAACTGTAGTGGAGTAAGAAAGAGACGTCTATCAAATGTATCTTTGCCAGGACCTGGCCTTTCAGTTCCAAGACCGCTTCAGACTGAATGTATAGTCCCTTCCAATGAAGAGGTATGTATTAATAAGATAAAAAAGCACATTTTACTAGTTTTTCCTTCTATTTCTAAAGGGCATATGACAACATCCTAGGTAGTAAGTTATATACTAAAGAATAGGAACTTTTCTACACTTAAGAAACTTAAAATGTAATAGTGGATATGTTGTTGTTGTTATTGTTAGGTGCCATCAAGTCAGTACCAACTCATAGAGACCCTATGCACAATAGAATGAAACACTACCTGGTCCTGGACCAACTTCACAATTGTTGCCATGCTTGAGCCTATTGATGGTGCCACTTTGCTAATCCATCTTGCTGGGGGGCTTCCTCTTTCTCTTTGACCCTCCACCTTACCAAACATGATATCCCTCTCCAGTGACTGGTCCCTTCTGACAATATTTCTGAAGTATGAGAGACAAAGTCTAGCCATCCTGGCCTCCAAAGAGCACTGTGGCTGTACTTCTTCCAACACAGATCTATTTGTTCTTTTGGCAGTCCATGGTAATTTCAGTATTCTCCTCCAACACCATAACTCAAAAGCATCAATTATTCTACAGTCCTCCTTATTCACTGCCCAACTTTTGCATGCCTGTGAGGTTATTGAAAATAAATATTGACCATGGCTTGCGTCAGGCACACCTTGTTAGTCCTCAAGCTGACGTGTTTACTCTTCAACACTTTAAAAAGTCTTGTGTAGCAGATTTGCCTGAGCCCTCAGGACCCCTTCATTTGCTGATGGGGCATAACTCAAAATGAAGGGGGATATATTGTAATAGGAGTTCTGGTAGCATAGTGGTTAAGAATTGGGCTGTGAACCTGAAGGTCAGCAGTTCGAAATTACCAGCTGTTCCATGGGAAAAAAATGAGGCTCTCTGCTCCCGTAAAGATTTACAGCCTCGGAAACTCTGTACAGGGTCGCTATGAGTCAGAATCGACTCGACGGCACTTCACAACAACATATTGTTCTAGTGAGTAAATGTGGCATAAGGGCTTGCCAGTAACAATGAATTGTGTTCTGTATACCCTGGGATCACATTAGTATCGCTTGGGTCTCTGTACTAGTCTTCTAGCCAGGTATCTCAAGCTCCTTCTCGTCTCCTTAATTCATCTTAAATACTGCAGCCAGATCAAATTTGCTAATACACATCTCTGATTCTGTCACTCTTCACTAGAAAACCTTCACATACTCCATGTTTTTGATGAAATGTACTATTCAACAATTCCCTAAACACACCTTTGCTCTTTCCACAGGCTTTTTCCAGATGCAGCTCAAATTGCGTAGTGCTTGTGTACTAGATAGCACTTACTGAGCTTATGATCTTATTTGGAGAAGACAAAGCTCATATCTGTATGTCTCTCTGCACCTAGCCCAGTACCTGATACTTAGTGGGCGAAGAGTGCTGCCGCATAAGGAACTGAAGTGCAGGGCTGTGATAAACATGGAAGAGCATGAGAAAAGATTAGTCATAGACAAGTTAGAGCCCACACTGAACTGCACAAGGGGCTTAGCTGTGATGGAGGACTGTAGAATAGTGGTATCTAGTTTCAGAAACTCTACAAAGGGTGCTACTACACCAACTACCCCCAATCAGGAATTGTTCAATTAGATGAAAATATTATGTTTTAATTTATTAGTTTATATTTAACCTGAAAAAGATGAAAGCCTCTTAGGTAATTGTAAGTGGTGATGTGTTTGAAGTCAAAACTAGTGGGTGGAATGTTTCTTAAGAAGGTTACATGCAGAGGCAGGTGCAGGCCAGGGCATGGTTGCAGTGGTGGCCATGAGGAACGAGCTGTCCTCAGCCACTGTGACCCTTAAAAGAGCCGTGAGTCAGAGGTTCACAGGGAGGCTCTTTTTGCCTCCTTCTTTGCTTTCAGAAGGGTTAAGGGAGGAGACTAGCAAGCTCTCACTCCAGGGTGCCCGCTCTTTGACGTAAACAGATGAAAGTGCAAAGGCATTCAACTGTGTAGATCATAACCAACTATGGATAACATTGCGAAGAATGGGAATTCCAGAACACTTAATTATGCTCACAAGCAACCTGTACACAGATCACAAGGCAGTCGTCATTGAAATATAACAAGGGAATATTGAATGGCTTAAAATCAGGAAAAATATGGTTCGGACTGTATCCTTTCATCATACTTATCCAATCTGTGGAATCCTGGTGTGGCCCTGTAGGATAAACACAGGCCAGTAAATCAGTTTGAACTGCAAGGTCGGTGGTTCAAACTCAGTAGCCTCTCCTTGGAAATCCTATACGGGGTTGTTGACTCGACGGCATTTAACAACATCATTCAATCTCTGTGTTAAGCAAATCTGAGACTGGATTATGTGGTATGATTGGAGAAAGGGTTATTAAACAACCTGAGATATGCAGACTTGAAATATATTGGACTGCCCCGCAATCTAAAGAAAATGAAAATCCTCACAACAGGAGCAGTAAATAATATGACGAACCGAGAAAAGACTGAGTTGTCAATGATTTCATTTTGCTTGGATTCATAACACTCACGGAAGCAGGAGTCAAGATATCAAAACCACTTATTGAAGTAGGCACATCTACTGCAAAAGATCTCTTGACAGTGTTAAAGAGCAAAAATGAGGTTTTGAAATGTGTACCTGACTCAAGCCAACATATTTTCAGTTACCTCATATGCATATGAAAGTTGGACAATGAATAAGGAAGACCTTAGAGAAAATTGAAGCATTTGAATTATGGTGTTGATGAAGAATATTGAAAAGTACCATGGACTGCCAAAAGAAGAAATAAATCTGAATTGGAAGACGTACAGCCAAAATGCTCCTTAGAAGTGGCGGGTCAATGAAAAAGGGAAAGCCCTTCAATGAGACAGATTGACGCAATGGCAGCAACAGTGGTCTCAGCGTTGTGAAGATGGTGCAGGATTGGGTTGTATTTTGTTCGGTTGTACATAGGACGGCACCTAGCAACAACGACAACTTAGTGAAAGTGTGTTGTATATAGTCTACTCCATGTACACTCTATCTTGTCTGTTGGCCAGATTGACACATGATTTGTTGGCTCCCTGAATAATTCTATATTTAATATAGAAGATATACTTCCTTAGGAAAACAAAAACAAAGGTTTTATTTGTCAGTTCAAGCAAGTATGCATTCTCAGAAAGAAAGATGTATAGGGAGAAAGAGATTCTTGAAGGAAAACTAGAAGGAAGGGAGAGTGGGACAAGGGGATACTTTAAAGAAGTGGAAGATAGTAACTGGGAAAGAGCAACCCAGAATCCAAAACCAACCTTAGAGACAAGCTAATTAGTGCCCACATATTAAGGCACTCTGAAGAACAGCATTTCACAATAACAACAACAAGTGCTAATGGTCCAGGGTCTATGTTAAGTGTTTTACTTACCTTTTCCTATGTAATCCTCATGACAGTCCTGCTTTCAGAGATACAGAAACGCTTCTAAGGAGCCAGGAGCATTAAACGTAACTAAATACTTAGATAAGCTGGAAAAAGGCAATGTGATTTTACAACCTTTTAGATCTGACCTTGAGGTTGTCTTTATTTATAACAGTTTCTGTTAAAATGTCAGAGCTCAATATAAAGGGAGTCTCATAAAGAGATGAAAGAACAAAAGACAGACTTCATGACTTCATTGAATTCGACTAAAATGGGACCACTGAGATTGGAATAACAAAAATTGAGTGATGGATATTGGAAGATGAGAGAGCTAAATGTATCTATTCAATACATTTGGGGAAATTCTTGAGGGGTCAAGACAAAATAGAATCAAGCTTGAAAAGTCAATATTTAGGAATTTAAGAAATACCTTTTTAAAAATACCTGTGGCGCTGTGGGTTAATGCGCCAGACTGCAAAGCTGTTTGAATTGCTAGGTTGGTGGTTCAAGTTCACCAGCTGCTCCTCAGAAACCCTATACAGGGTCACTATGGGTTGGAACCGACTCAATGGCACTTAACAACAACAACAACAAACCCTTACTTATTATATATAATTAAATAATACAGTTACAATGTTTTATGAGCAATTACTTTTGCAAATGTTAACTAAACCTAAGCTGTGGAAATAACTCAGACTATTTTTACAAAATTTCTGGCTTCACATTAGTAAGAAAATTAATATTTAAACTTAGTAGTAATTTGTAGGGAAAGTGACCCTTAAGCAAAGTAAGAAAAGAACTGTCACTCAATTATCAGCGGTCCTATTTTAATCAAATTCTTTGGGTAAGTGTATACATTATCTCCCCTCTGCCCTCTAATTTCTGATTAAATCAGATACATTCCCTTCTACCATCCACAACTATCCACACACCTCCCCCTTCAGCCAGTTACCAGTGTGATTGTATTATATATTCACATGTATTGAAATACAAAAGGTTAAGAATCACTGAACTCAGTTTAGAAAACCTAAGTTTAAGTCTGAATTCTAATACTACCACTCAGTAGTACTAATCCCTCTGAGTTTATTTCTTCATATTTAAATCAGGGATAATAATACAGATAGCTTCTTGTACTGGGCATGACTGGAGTCTCCAGGTAGTGCAAACGGTTAACACATTTGGCTGCTAATTGAAAGTCTAGAGATTCTAGTCTACCCACAGGCACCTTAGAAGATTTAGGCCATTGAAAACCCTGGGGGGCACATCTCTACCCTTTGACACAAGTGGGGTTGGTTGCCTTATGTCAGAACATTTGACAACAACCAGTTTTTTTCCTACACATGTCAATGAGGTGGCTGCTAACTGAGTGTGGTTCTCTGCACACGTGTTCTGTATCATGGCCCTAATCTGTAGTGAACAATTTCACCTAGGTTTCACGGTGTAAAAGACGTTATGAAATCCAGGTGCGATTGTTCACTGTTGTTGTTAAGTGCTGTTGAGTCGTTTCCAACCCGTAGCGACCCTGTATAGGGTTTCTAAGGAGCAGCTGGTGAGCTTGAACCACCGACGTTGAAGTTCAAATGACTTTGCAGTCTGACGCATTAGCCTACAGTGCCACACCAGGACTCCCTTGTTGTTGTTGTTGTTAAGTGCTGTTGAGTCGATTCCAACCCATAGCAACCCTGTATAGTGTTTCTGAGGAGCAGCTGGTGAGCTTGAACCACTGACCTTGCAGTTGAAACGACTTTGCAGTCTGGCGCATTAGCCTACCTGCACCACACCAGGACTCCCTAGAGATTAATAAATAAGTATAAATAGCCCGTTTGTACTTTGCCTATGGGGAATCTGCCCCTGCCTTGATCCCATCAGGACTTGACCCAAATGCATAACCAGAAGCCTGGAATGAAAGTTCTGCAGTGCACATGCACAGGAGTATTCTATATACTTGATGATGACTGACTAAATCAGTCATATTCCATCTTGTTTATTTTAACCTTGAAACAAACTGAAAGTACTAGCTAGATTCTGGAGCAAGAGAAGCAGTAGTTGAGTCATTGTTTGAATAGGGCGCCTATCAGAGGAAAGGCCTAAAATGCTTCTTTCTGGTTCCTGTTGGCTTCTTTTGTAGTTTTGCAACATCACAGTGGAGTTCCTTTTTCCTTTGTTCCATGTAAGGCCACATGGAGGAAGGGTCAGGCAGCCTTAGTGGACACTTGCACAGCTGACACATACAAGGTTTTTGCCCTCTGGACTGTTCTTTTCTTAGTTCGTTGCTTAAAAAAAAAAAAAATGGCAACATCTTAGTAAGAAACTAAGATGTAGTTGTGTTCTTTTTTGTGTTCTTTTTTAGTGCTCTCCTGTATTCGTATTCATTTTTCTTCTCTATTTTTCTCCTACTTTCTTGGTCTGTTTTCTTTTTCTCTCTACCCCTTCTCCTTTATACTTCTATTTTTCTTGGTTCTTTCTGTGTTGCTTTGCTTCCATTGATTGATGTCAAATGATTCAACTTGTGGTTACTTAGGGAAGACATCATCTCAGGACCTAAGTTCTTTAAGTGAAGATGCAAACAGCTACAACAGAATACATCTAGGTTCCTGTTGTTAGGTGCTGTCTAGTTGGTTCTGACTCATAGCAAACTTGTACAGGGTTTCCAAGGAGTTACTGGTGGAATTGAATGGCCGAGCAATGGCTAGCAGTCCAGTGCTTATCTTACAGCTCCACACCAGGTAGTAGTTAGGTATTTAGATTTTGTGCTTGAGCACATGAACTATATTCATATTATATCACTAATACAGGCATGCCTCATTTTATTGTGCTTCACTTCATTTGCACTTCGTAGATAACTACAGTTCTGTATAAATTGGAGGTTTGCAGCAGACTTGCTTCTGGCAAGAATATCATTCATGCCATTTTCCCAACAGCATGTGCTTACTTTGTGTCTCTTAAGGAGCTCTGGTAGCGTAGTGGTTACGAATTGGGCTGTGAACCACAAGGTCAGCAGTTTGAAACTACCAACTGTTCTACGGGAGAAAGATGAGGTTTTCTGCTCCCATATAGATTTACAGCCTCAGAAACCCTGTACAGGGTTGCTGTTGTCAGAACCGACTCCACGGCACATAACAACAACTTTGTGTCTCTATGTCACATTTTGGTAATTTTCAAAATATTTCAGACTCTTTATTAATGCTATTGCATACTTTAAAAGAGTAGACATAGCTTTTCAATGCATTGTTGTTAAGTACAGTCCAGTCAGTTTTGACTCACAGGAATCCTATATAGGGTTTCCAAGGAGCAGCTGGTAAGTTTGAATGACCTTGCCATTAGCAATACAGCGTGTATCCTACAGTGCCACCGTATCAGTACTCATTTTTTTGCACTAGGAAACCAAAATATGTGGGAGTCACTTTATTACGATATTTGCTTCGTTGCAGTGGTCTGTAACCAAACCCACAACATCTCTAAGGTATGCATGTACATTGTATAATTCCAAGCATATATAATCAGTGACTATCTGTGAAATGAGTCACATTACAGTGACTTTATAATTTAGTTTAATTATTCTCTTTATAAGAAAGAGCCAGGACTCCTGGTAGCGTGGTAGATTATAAACTGGGCTGCTAACCTCAAGGTCAGCAGTTCAAACCTACCAGTTGCTCCTCAGGAGAAGATAAGGCTTTCTGCTCCTGTAAAGATTTACAGCCTCAAAAACCCTATACAGAATGACTTTGAGTTGAAACTGACTCAACAGCACACAACCCCCACCATAGAAAGGGCATCTTTTTTTTTAAACCTACTTTTCCCTCAGTTTACAAAAAGTTTTTCATTGATGTTTGCTTTAAATTTCTTACATGTCATGTGTGTGAGAGGTAGGAAGATAATTTAAAATATCAACCCTAAAACCAAACCCACTGCTATCTAGTGATTCTGACTCTTAGCGACCTTATAGGAAAGAGTAGAACTGTTCTTAAAGGCTTTTAAGGGTGTAAATCTTTGTGTGCCTCATCTTTCTCCCTAGGAGTGTACCTAGTAGGTTAGAACTGCTGACCTTTGGATAGCAGCCCAGTGCTTAAACCACCATGCCACCAAGGCTCCTTAAAATACCAAGATCCTTCTTAAAGCATAATTACTAGAGATAAAGTTATTCGTTTATAATAACTGGTATACAAACATAAATTATGTAGCTATTATTGTATCATCAATTGAAATTTTTACATTTATATTTTAGTCTTTGTTAAAATAATATTGAAAAACTAAACTTGTCTCAAAATATGGATAGCAGTATTGTTTCCTAGATTTTATGTACTTATGATTAATTCCTTGATCAGGTTTTGAAGGGATTTGAACATTCTGTTATGAATTAATTTTAGTTGTTGCATTTTAAATTTTAAATGGTATCTGTGTCTGGCAGACAGATTGACCAGTGAATGTTTGTATGAAAGTATTGTAGGTTGATGTTGTTGTTAAGTGCTGTCAAGTCAGTTCTGACTCATAGCGACCCTGTATAGGGTTTCTGAAGAGCAGCTGGTGGGTTTGAACCGCTGACCTTGTGGTTCGCATCGAGTACTGATGCTACAGCACCCTACTAGGATTCCCATAGGATGAAAATATCTTAGTGATTTTAAAACATATTCTATACTGTTCTTGTTTAAGGCTTTTTATAAGTTAAGTTTCCATAGGAAACTGCTGATACCCATCCCATTTTTAGATTTTTGGCTCTATAATTCCAGATAAATGACTCTTGTGACCAAGCCCTGTTCCCAATACTTTGACTTTAATATTGACTTACGTTTATGAAAATTATGTTTTAGTCACATGTTCACCAAGAGCCAAGTAAGAGAATTCCTTCTTGGAGTGGTCGCCCTATCTGGATGGAAAAGATGGTGATGTGCAGAGTAAAAGTTCCACACACATTTGCTGTTCACTCTTACACCCGTCCCACAATATGTCAGTTCTGCAAGCGGTTATTGAAAGGCCTCTTTCGTCAAGGAATGCAGTGTAAAGGTAGGATTGGAGCTTTTCCTTAAATAAAATTCATATCTACTTTTGTTAGAAATGTAGGTTTAGAATATTGTATTTCAGAAGTTTTAGCCAAATAAATTTTATTATAGTGTTTAATTTACAAAAAAGGTGTGTTGTTGCTAAGGGCTAACAAGTCAGTTCCCACTCACAGTGACGTTGTACAGGGTTTCCGAGGAGCAGCTGGTCGGTTTGAACTACTATTTTTGCTGTTCAAACCGACGTTACAGTCCAGTGCTTTATCCTGCTGTGCCACACCAGGACTCAACTAGTAAAATCTGTAGTATGTACTATGTGCCAAGCACTATGTTAAAAAACAAACAACAAAGCTTTAATCTTCACAACAGCAACAGGGGAAATAGACTTTTGTAGTAGTAATAGCAGTAGTTTTCTATTTTATAGTAGATAGAGAATAGAGAGATTAAGTAACACTTAAACTCACAAAACTGATTTGTGTTTGAGACATGACTGCTTAACTTGCCAATAACGAAAAGCAAGTAAGCAACTAAGCTGATGTTTGAGCTCATTGTTGTTGTTGTTAAATGCCATCAAGTCGGTTCTGATTCATAGTGACCTTGTAAAGGGTTTCCAACGAGTGGCTGGTGGTTTGAACCACTAACTTGCTATTAGCAGTTCAGTGCTTATCCTACAGCGCCACACCAGGAGCTTAAGTCTTCTAATTTCATAGCTGTCCATTACCCACAATAGAAATAACACTTTGCTCTTTTCTTATGCATTCAAACACACACACACAAATTATGCTAAAAGGGTTTTATTATCAATGTAATTATGTAGCTAGTAGACCTATATAAAAGCAATTATTCTAGAGCATATTCACAGTGAAATATACTGCAGCAGAAACCATGGAATTCTATAAGGAACCCAGTACACTTACATATATACCAGTACTAATCAGACATACTAGCAAAGGATTCTAACCAGCTTTTTTTATTCCTAGAGTCATTGAATACATGCTTTTCTTATGTAATATTTTAAGCTTTTAAAAGATGATTTCATCTTTTTGTCTCATATCTTTCTTCCAATAATACTGTGCAATAGAGTATTCATAGCCATTGAGCCAAAATAGGATATATATAGTCTTAACTATAATCTTATGTATTTTATCATGTGATTAATTTATTATAACTGTTCTCACTCTAGTACTTTTTATGTTATGGATGTATTTCTGGAATTGAGTTATCAGATTATCTTAATAAAACATTAGATTAGAGGGTTTTGCAGCAATAAATCTTTATATACAACCCAGAATAGGATAATTAATTGTAAAATTTAATTTTTGTATAATAGAATAGAAAATTTTCTTGACAGTATCTGACAGCATATGAGAACAATGAACAGGTTGTACGTTTGTTGTCAGCTACAAGGGGGCTTCAAAAATTTGTGGAAAAATTCCATTCTCTTTTCATTCCATTTTTACCTGAACTTTTTGAAGCACCCTCATATTTAATGATAAGGCATAACTGAATGAATGTTAAAATCATATTTCACCAGCTTACTTTAGGATATAAGTTAACACATAAATTAATACTTAAAATATCATCATAAAAGTATATTGGCAAGCAGCCACTAAAGAAATACTGTGGGAGAGAACATTAATAACAGATGTACAAATTCTAACCAACAGATAATCTTTATAAAGGGTAGTAAATGTTGTTAAGGAGCTCTGGTAGTGTAGTGATTACAAGTCAGGCTACTAACTTCAAGGTCAGCAGTTCGAAACTACCAGCCATTTGATAGGAGAAAGATGAGGCTTTCTGCTTCCATAATGATTTACAACTGTAGAGACTCTTTGCAGGGTTACTATGAGTTGGGACCAACTCCACAGGCACATAACCAACCAACAACCAAATGTTATTAAGTGCCATTGAGTCAATTCTGACTCATAGCGATTCTGTACAGAGTTTCCGAGGAACAGCTGGTATTTGAACTGCTGACCTCCTTGTGGTTCACGGTCTAGTGCTGTTCCTACACCAGGTAGTAAATAGTTCTGTTCTATTGAACAGAAAGAAAAACAGTCTAAAACCATATACAGAAAAGTACAACATTTTATAGAGGAACTAAAATAAATACATATATTAATGAATTTTTAAGCAAAGCCAGTTTACTCTAATTCTTAAGGTTCCAGTAGAATAATGTCTTGTGCTTATATTAGATCATACTCGTATTTCTTGTATGGTAGTGGTAGTTGTGTACCACCATGACGGTCCCTACTCTTAGCGACCCTGTACAAGTTTTCCAAGGCTATAAATCTTAAGAAGAATAGGAAGTCTCATCTGTCTCCCATGGAGTGACTAGCTAGATTCAAACAACTGACCTTGCAGTTAATGGCCCAGCTCACAATCTCCTATGCTACAATGGCTCCTTATTTCTTTCATATGTAGGTAAGCGTTTTCAGTCATCAATCAAAAACTAATCACTTATTTCAGTAAGTCCTGTGCTGTTACCATATCAGTTGATACATGAAAAATGAAATAGTCATCATTTTCATTCACTTGTCAGCTGTGAAAGAATAAAGAAAAGAAATAATTAGGTAACACAAAACAGTTACACTGAATCATTTAAGAATATATACAATTCCAAGAACAACTACTTATTCATTTTTAATTCATCTGTGTATTTTCTACTTTATGCAACAGAAACTTCAAGGTAACTTGAAAGCATATGTAAGATGCAAGCTAGCATGCATGACTAAAGTGCAGACATGGGTAAATCAAGACTAGAAATGTCTGCCATTAGAGCCTTTGTACTTACTGCAGGCAGACACAGTTAGGCTCTAAATTTCTAACTGATCAAAGGAAGCCCTAGATTTTTCACAATTTTTGAAGCTCATTTAGATTAAAAACAAATATCAATTATAAAGTACTATGCTAGATACTAATGTTATTTTGTTATTAAGTGCTGTGAAGTCATTTCTGACTCATAATGACCCTGTTGTATAGGGTTTCCAAGACTGTAAATCTTTGTGGGAGTGGAAAGCTTCATCTTTCTCGCATCGAGCAGTTGGTGAGCTCAAGCCACCAACTTTGTGGTTCAAAGTCTAGTGCTTATCCTCCAGATCCACCATGCTCCCATAAGATATTAACATCATGTGTGAATTTTCCTTGTGGCTTCTCATTTAAGAGGACATTGTCCTACAAAGCAAAATTTTATAATATACCAAATTATTAATTTCCTGGTGCTTTTTTCATGATTTTCAATATGTGCTTTCTTCATAAGATTTCCTTGACTCATAAGTGTTAAAAAGATATATATTCTAAGTCAGGACTCAGTTATTTTGACCCAGTCATTGCTGGTAGATTCATTTCAACGTGGTATTAGACAATAGTTACAGCAGTATGTCTCTATTTTAGTATCACTTGAAGGGCTTATTAAAACATAGTTTTTCGGGCCCACTCCCAGAATTTCTGTTATATGGGTTGGTACCTAAAGTAAACATTTCTAATGGGTTCCCAAGTAAGATTGATGCTGCTGGTCTGAGGATTACACTTTGATAACCACTGAGTTATATAATAGTTTTGAACCAATTGTACCTGATACTGATCTGCAAGGCAATTAACTCCAGGGTTCTTAACAGATTGAAGAGAACCATTATGTAAAAATAAGATACCTTGTACTTGAGAAGCTCAGTCAGTCATCACAGGGATGGATAGATGTGAAAGCCTTTATTGGCTTCCTAATAAATGTATGTTGAATCACAATCTGTTTTCTGCATATGCATCAGGTCTTAATACTTAGAAATTGAAAGTTTGAATTTGAGATATGTTAAATTGATATTTAATCTGCCTAAAGGGCAACATTTTCCTAAGGACAAAGTTGAGAAGGGATGGGAAGGTAAGTAGAATGCAAATAGGAACCACAGGGAGGATGCAGAGTAACTTGTTGCAGGGGAGGGACTGTAATCATTGAGATGAAACAGAGTGTATGATGTATTGAAGGTAAAACTGATGATCTTGTCTGTAATTCTTAACTCAACAGTGAAAAGTTAAGAAAAAGAAATATAACCAGCCTGAGAATGTGGGGGCTGTGTAGGATAAGCAGAGGACTGTGATCCACATGTTTGGTGGTTCACAAGGATGAGGCTTTCTGATCCCACAAATATACGCAGTCTCAGAAACCCTATACAGGGTCACTATGAGTCCTAACTGACTTGATGACACTTAACAGCACTAACAACAAGAAACTCCCAAGGCGGCTATGGAAAGATGAGTAAGTTAAGAGTGGGAAACATGAACACTTAGCCACTTTATGGCTCATTTTGTTCTTGTTAAGTTCTATCCAGTTGGTTGCAGCTCTTGGCGACCCTATAGAGGGTTTCTAAGGAACTGCTGGCGGATTTGAACCTCCAACCTTGCAGTTAGCCCAGTTTTATCCTACAGCACCGCACCAGTACCTCAGTTTGAGACATAATGTTATACAAATGGTACTGTCTTATTTTACAGAAGAAGTAGTTGAAACCTGGCGGGGGAGGGTTAAGTGACTTTGGAAGGGTAAAACAACTATGAATTTGAGCAGAGCTTGAGACCAGACCTTTATTCTAAGAGCCGACTTCTTAATAAAGGAAGATTTTATCATCATCTTCATCATAAATAATAGTAATTTAAAGAAAGACTATATATAACATTGCCTAACTTTTTGTAAAAATCAGTATTTTTGCAATGTTAATATTTTTACATTATTTTATTTTAGACTGCAAATTCAACTGCCATAAACGCTGTGCATCTAAAGTACCAAGAGACTGCCTTGGAGAGGTTACTTTCAATGGCGGTAAGAGTCTTTTTTTTTAAATTACTATAAAAGATCAGAGAAGATCACAATTTCTTTGTATATTATCTTTATATATAAAATATTTGCATATTTTACTTTTTTTCTTCAGTAATGTTTCCTTTCTAATTCAGTAATCAAGCAAAATATAGAGATTGGTGATGATAAACTTTGAAACATTTTTATTGTGGGAACATGTATCTAATACATATATAACAAAAATATGTTTATCAATAATTGTCTTAGTTATCTGTTGTCATCAGGTGCCCTGAGTCCATTCCCAGTCATAGCAACGTTGTGCCATCCTGCGCCATCTAGTGGCTACTGTAGCAGAAATACCACAAGTGGATGGCTTTAACAAAGTTTTATTCCGTCACAGTTTGGGAGGCTAGAAGTCCGAATTCAGAGCACCAGCTCTGGACATAGGTCCTTGTCTCCTTTCAGTAACTGTAGGCTCAGCATTCCTTGGAGATCTCCATGCATCTTGACATCAGTCTTTCCCTGGATCTAGGAAGTTCACAGTACAGGGACCTTAGGTCCTAAGGACATACTGCACTCCTAGCTCTTTTATCTTGGTAGTAGTAGATCCCTCTCTGTCTGCTCACTTCTCTCTCCTTTTATAGCTTAAAAGAGATGAACTCAAAATACAGCTTAATCCTATTGATTGTATCTAGCTTCATTAACAC